GCCGGGCGGCATCCCCCCCCCCCCCCCCCCACCCAGAGTGGCACAGCAGGGGCAGGAGGAAGAGCCACTGGAGGCAGTGGGAGCTGAGCAGTACCCAGGCAGCTGCAGTCGCACCAGAAGCAGCCCTGCTGGGCTGTGCACACTGGCTGAGGTTAGGGCTGGGGTCAGGACCAGGCTGGGCTCCATGCCCAGCACCGTGGAGGCTGCTGTGGACTGCACCTCCACTGCATCTCCTGGGAGAGTTCTGCTGCATGCTCCCCCTGTCACCCCTCTCTCCCCCACCCCCAGCTGGCTCCCAGCACCTAGCACCCAGGCAGCCCCTCCACACACACATGCCCCCCTCACACACACAATATATGAGATTAAGACTTTATTTTGAGCTATTATGCAATTGCCTCTATGTACGCTACTAAAAAACCCATAAATGAGGACAAAATTATGTTTAAAAATAAAATGAAAATATGTTATAGTTGATGCTTGATTTTTATAATATGATTTTTTAAATCTATAATTCATTGAAATTATATCTGCTGAATGATTTTGCATGTGCAACCCTCGACAACTCACCAAAATTCATCAAGTGGCCCTCCAGCCAAAATAATTGTCCACCCCGATGTAAATGATACTGTCATCATTTTCAGGGATTTTTTTCCAAAGGTGCAGTAATAATGGATTACATTTTAAGAGAATTTTACATCTCAGAACTTCCCTGGTGCCTTGTTTACTGTAGGCTCCATTTTGCAAGCCCTTACTCATATGACTTTAATAGGACATAATTCTTAGTCCAATAGTTCTCAAACTTTTTAGATTAAAGGAACTCCTCATTAGACTTAAGGCACCCTTGAATAATGCCAGCCCTTTCTTTCACTCATTTTTCAGTGTGGAAAAATAAAAGAGAAATTCTTTGGCTGCAAAGAACTCAGAAAGACCACAACAGGCAAGGATTTTCTGAGACTGGATTCCTATTTGAAATCTGGATTTACGTGAATCCTGTGTTGATTTTTGCACACAAAGTGCTACTATTGTGTGGCACCCCATGCAGCCTTAAAAGGATCTCACAGTACCACGATATGCACATATGCAGACATTACCCTATCACTGAAATCCAACTTTAGAGTAGAGAAAAGAAGCCATACGTTCAATCAGCGTACTTTATCATTTTCAGACTCTTATTTTCTGGTCCCCGCTCTCCCCTTTTTTAACCACTTCCAAAATCCAGGATTGATCATCACAAACTTCCATGACTTGCAAATGTTAAATGTAGACCTCCAAAGGCAGCTTTGTCAGAGGACTGTAATTTTCCATAACCAATTCATACATTAATCTTTAACAGATTTCTCTACTGCATTTGTAAACTTCACCTGGTCGCAGTGGTTTATATTTACTGTTTTTCCATCACTGCGCACACAGCTCAAAAGGCGGCTCCTAATCCCTTGTCCACAGGTTGCATTTTCACTTAGTTGACATGTACTCCAGTCTAAAAACACACAATAATTATATTTATTAAAGCAAATGATCACTGCACTTCATTTTACCTCAGTTTACTCCATGATGTGGTTATCATCATTTAATTTGGAGCTTTAGAATTGTGAGCTCATATAAGAGAGAAACAAAACAGATAAAAAAGTATAAAAGTTCTAAAATGTTCTAAGAAGTAAGTCTCAGATATCCATTAACAAAAGCAGTACATCAGAGTATGCAGAAAACTGTTGAATGCTGATAAAGTATATCTTTAAAAAACAGTTGGCACATTTACAAGGCCATATTATTAGCCTGAAATAAAATTTCAGTTTGATAAAGTGGCCATAGAAGTTTCTCAAGTGCAACTCCATTTTAAGCTATTTGTTGTCTCAAAGTAATGCTCAGCATTATCTCAAACAGAGCTCTGTCTTAAGTGAAAGTGATATTTCCATTCTCCCTTGTATTTTTCCTTATTCAGAATAATGTTTAACATTTACCTGACCCAACATGAGCTTTGAAGCTCCATTTTTATATCAAAGAAGAAACTGAAAGAAAAAATATATATTATGCTGTCCTTGCTACCAATAAAAATGAAGAATAATAAAGTACTGTCATTTGAAAAATGACTGTAAAAGAGGTACCATGATGTTGGATGTTTGTCTACTGGTAGCTTTCAAATACGCTTAAGGTATATTTCAGAATATCTTTTTTTCCTAACTGTCACTCCTGAAAACTGAAACACAGATCTAAAAGTAAAGCTGAGTTCTGTGGGGTTTTTTATATATAAGCACTAGCAGAGATGGTTAAAAAAGAGGACTTTTTTTTCCCCATTTTTCTCCTTTTTTTATTTTGGAATTTTCCAACCAACTGCAGTCATTTGTAAATAAGTTTCTAAATGCATTTTGCCTTCATGTGCATCTATGCAACCCATATTGCTTTCAGATTTTACCATTGCTTTCACCTGGGTACTGTCCTCTTCAATAGGATTGCCCAGCTGTAACATTTCCTTGTAACTGGAATTTTGTAAATAATTCACTTTTAAATAATTCTTGTGCAAGAAGAACAGAGTCCATCCCATTCTTGTTAATTTATAGTGCAGCTGCATTGATAGCACAAGTAGCAAACACTCACCTTGAGCCCCAGCATGCCTGCTTCATCCAGTGGCCGCAGTAGCGGGCGCAGGGTGAATGGGCCGTGGTGCCTGGGCAGTGGGGCCAGAGCCAGCAGCAGTAGCTACAGTGCCAGCAGCAACTAGCAGGAGCCATCACTGCTGAGGCTGCCAGGAAGCAAGTCCAGCCACTGCGCCACCCCAGCCTTGCTGCACACCCAAGGGATAAAATCCACTGGCAGGCCAAATTTTTAAATGTTTTTTTAAGTAAAATGTTTCGTGTTCAAAGGCAAATCAGCCAAATCAACTCCAAATCCATGAGTCATTCAAGAACCACATGTTGGCCCTACTACTGGCAAACATCCTCCACCCCCACCTGGGGCTTTGGATGCTTTCTAATCACTTGGTTGGCATCCTATGTGCAGGCCCAGGCACGAAGGTTTGGGGTCCTGATGCCCCCGAGTTTCGGTTGCTCTCAGCCATACGGCTGCAGGAGCAAGCCAAGGAGGAGTCTCCCATGTTCATAAAGTGGGCAAAAGCCAAGATCTTCCCACTGGAAATGAAAGTGGGAGGTTAACTATACATTACCTCTGCAGGTACTACCTCATGTCAGGAAAGCGATTATCCCCAGCATCCAGGAAAATCGCGTTAGTGATCATGTTATTTCCCTTGCTAGCTAAGTATGGTCTGTATTTCGCTGACCCCTGCTTTACAACACAGTTCATCAAGCAGGGCCCCAGCAGAGTCGACAGCATTTCAAGCTATGGTAACCCCATAGCTCGGCACTGCTAAGTATGTACACGTATTCCAGAGACCCCCCTACAAAGGAGCCACGTGCTAATTAGACCCCAGTAATGACTGGAACTGGATGTTCTTGCCATGAGTCCTGGGATGCTCCAAAAATGTATAAGCAAATGAGACAGGGCAACCAGGTCCAGCTCCACCTCAGGGCAGGCAGAGCCACACTAATCTTGTGGCAGACTGAGAGAGGGGGGGACAGAAGGATTCTGGGTGAACTATTAGGGGCCTCATTTCATGGTGTTTGCCAGGCATTTAAGGCTGGTGAAAAAACAGGAATAATTGGCAATGGGAAAGAAGGACACAGCTCAGCTGTGGGAATGAAGGGGAAGTCAAAATATATGCTCATCATGACTTGGAATAAAAGTCAGCAGTGGGGGGACTGTGCTTAATGGGCATTACCCTATATATGACTCAGATGGGCTGTATTAATTTATACTTGTGGGAGGCTCCTATCAGCATGTTTGTCCAATGTAGCACAGGTATATTATAGCCATGCTCGCTGTTGGCCTCATTTAATCAACTTCATAGTTTTCCATTGCTGAGCATATGCTGCTTTTAACACTGGCAGATAGACAACATATTTAGTGAGTTTTCCATGTATGTGAATGTAAGATGAGGGGCTTTTTCTCCCGTGCTGATTGAGGCAAAAAAACCTCATCTCGTATTTGAGTAAATACACCCAAAGAGCAGATTTGCAGAGTAGTAGGGTGTTATATGCATAGCCATGTTTAAGACCAGAACTGCAGTTTAATATTGTACCATAAGTTGTCATGTCTCTTCAGACTTTGTAAATGTATAGTAAAGAGTGTGTGAGAAAGATTACTCTTTCCACTTGTCTGGTGAATCACAGTTATGCTTACCTGTCAGATTGTACTCATACTGGAAGCAATTTTGATTGAGAACACAAGGTTGCATTTGTGAATCTTCTGGGCAAGTCTTGGCATCTGAAGGAGACCTTAACACATGGCGAACACGTGTTTGCATAATATTGGGATCACATACCTAGATTTTAAAAAAAAATTGCAAAATAGAAATAGATCTCAGTGAATACTAGAGATACCAATTGCCTGTGATACATATACATATTATGTTGTTATATGGTTATTCCTATATCAGACCACAGATTATATTATTTCCTTCCTGTTGTTTAAGACAGTTTAAATATTTTTAATAATGAACCTCTTTCAAAGGTATCATTAACATTTAACACATCTTTATCTTAATACTACCAAGCCTGACATCTACTGTACTCTATTTTGAATCACTTCTTTAACAAATATATCCTATTGCTACTTAACAGTACGATAATTGGTTAAGGAAGATAGCAAACAAAAAATTGAGAAGTCTTTTGTTGCGACTCCTCTATGATTTCCCAAGCAAAACCTTGTAGCACTAAATATGGATAAAAAAAATTAATTATATCAAGTATTTTAGGATCCTTAATGTTGTAACTCAGTTAAAAGTGTGTTTCGGTTCCATGAGTGATCAAGGGGTCTGTCTGAGACACAAGACTTCACTGAGTGACACTTACCTCAGATGATTAATGCTTAAGCTCTTTTTATTCATGACTCAGAATTGATCATTATTCTTCTGCCAACACTGTTATTTGTAACTTAAAGACCCCAACAGAAACAGATAGCATCATCTGGAAAGAATTTTTACTATAAGGACCACATGAAACACAATCAAAGAATAATGTCATGACTGCAACTGAGCTGCAACTTGGGAACATTCTGAAGATTTAAAGCTTATATTTTCTGCCATGCAGCAATGGTAGAAATTACAACAGACCATTCTTTTATGCTGTATTTGCTACTACATACTGGTTATGACATTGTAGGCCATACAGGACCATTTTTTCAACAGCAGCTGATACATTAAGTAAATACATATGTGTCCATGCAAATTTAAATACACTTAAGCAAATATTACATGCTCTTACAAGTCCATGTTGCATCTCTGTATTTGACTTTCCATCCTAAATTATGTGTACAATCTAATAGGTATATTTTTTAAATGTATCCCTCTCCTCCCTCACACAATTATATTTTGTACCATTCCCCCATTCTCTCCTAACCTCACCTGAGGCAGAAGCCTCTACTCCAACTAGCTCCAAAGCATTGCAGATGTATAGCCTTTGACAAAGTAAATAGAAGTGTCATGGTTTTATGGATGGAGGTTCATAATATCACTTCTCCTTATACCAGGGTAAACATTTTTGTGTTCTAAGTGTCATAAAGGGGTGGAGGACCTTTACATGTTTTCTAAGCATCCCTCTACATAGGACACAGACCAATGGCTTGAGGTTGCAACAAAATAGATTTATATTGGATATCAGGAAATTCCTATTCATCATTAGAACAGTGAAGCAGTAGAATAGGCTGCCTAGGGAAGCTGTGGACTTTCCATTACTGGAGGCGTTCAAGAAGAGGTTGGACAGCCACTAGTCAGGGATATGCCTATGTTCTACTATGGCTATTTCCCATGCTTAGAGACCACTCCCAGAAGGTGATAATTGATGGGATAGCCTCATCCTGGAGGGCTGTCTCCAGTGGTGTCCCCCAGGGATCGGTGCTTGGACCCATGCTTTTTAATATATTCATTAATGATTTGGATGAGGGGGTGGAAAGCTCAATAATTACGTTTGTAGATGATACCAAGCTGTGGGGAAACATGGGCACTTCGGAGGTTGGGGTCAGGATCCAGGACAACCTTGACAGACTGGACTCATGGGCAGAACTGAATCAGCTGAGATTTAACAGGGATAAGTGCAAAGTCCTTCACCTTGGTAGGAAGAACCATCACCACAGCTACATGATGGGTGGTGGTCCATTGTTCTGGCACAGCATCTGAATGACACCTGGGGGTCATGATCAACTGGAAGATGAATATGAGCCAACAGTGTGATGAGGTTGCCAGAAAGGCAATAAGAACTCTGGCGTGCATCAGCCGATGTGTGGAGCCACAGCAGGGGACCGGACTTGATGAGCTTACCGGTCTCTTCTGGTTCTATGATTCTGGTCTATGCTGGTTGCCACATGGGACTGGGAGGGAATCCTGCCTCTCACTCCCTACCCATTTCTGCTGTGTCAGAAGGTTTTTTTTCTTTAAGCCTTCCCCAGAGGCATTGGGTGTTAGCTGCAGCCAACTAGGAATTTTGACTGGAGCGTGCCAGTGCTCCTGCTGGAACTTAAACCATATTTGGAATCAGGAAGGCATTTCACCTCATGGTCAGATTTGGAAGAGATGTGGGGGTTTTGTCTTCCTCTGCAGTGGGAGACATGACCCTCTACCTAGGATCTCTTGAGTGTACATTGAACTTTTACAGAAGTAAGACATTGGCTCTCATGGTCCCCCTTCTTTATCTCTGGCAGGTTAGGATGTTATGTCTGGTGTTGTTTCAGGATTGATGGTAATTTTACTAGATTAGATTATGGATCTGTATAGGATGGTTCGGACAGGGATAATCTTGCCTCAGGCAGGGGTTTGGACTAGATGACCTATGGAGGTCCCTTCTAGCCCTACTTCTCTATGATTCTGTGTTTCTATGAGTTGATCACTGGAGTGGAAAGCTCCCTCTGACTTCTGCTTGGGAGAGGTTGGTCATAAGGTCCCGCTTCTCTCTCCAACTTATCACCATATTGGAAACATCAACCAGATTGGTGCATTTTTTAACCTTTTCTTCCATGGCTAACTGAATGTCAATCAGAAAGTTCACCTGGGGCCTTCTGCTAAAAGACAAGAATACAACAGAATGAGTACACTTAATGGCACCACCAATATTACAAGTGCGGTCACTATAGACTTTGTTCAAGGCCAGCTGTTCACACACCAACACAGCACTACTATGGTGGGGAAAGTACATCACTTAAGTAAACAGAAGTTTTATTTTTTTAAGTCCCTGAAGGACTTGTGAAGGCTAATTATAAGCAACAATCACTCATTAGAGTAATAGCCCTGAAGCTAATGCAACTGTTTAGATACATCCAAACTATCTATAGAAGTAAAGAATCAGGAATGGGTCATAAAAAATAGGGTCTTGAAGAAAAGGTTCTGGTCAGACTGAAGTAAATAGATCTTTTGCTGCTACTGATTAGAAGAAAACTAACACAGTAAATGAAACCAGTGGATCCTATTACTAAATCTTGGAACAAGACCTGTACTAAATATATGCAATACAATCAATTGAACAAAATGTTCATGAGCATATTTTATTCAGGAAAATTCCTCATGAGTATTAAAGTCCGCTTAAAGCAAGAACAATAAAGACACCAACAGAACACTGTGAGCTGAGAGGGAAATCTAAAACTGTGTTATTTTTCATAAATGCTTGGGAATCTCAAATAATATATTTTGATATATTAGCCCCAAAATTAAAACCTCATTAAGAGTTTAAAAAACATGCCCATATTGCCTTGCAACTGCCTATAATACTAAACCCAGTGTGGGAGAAAATATAATTAATTCCCCTATTATGAATAATAAAAAAGAAATTTCTTGCCATTAAAAAACAAATTCAGATCTCAATTAGGCTACTGTAAATCTGGAAGTAGCTTCACTAACATTAGCAGAAATTTTCCTAATATAGCCCAAAGGAAACAAGAGACAAATTTGACTCTGATTTGTTACTGATTTGTCAGTGACTAGTCTCCATATGTTTATGTTGTATTAGGGGAATGCCATTATCATCTTAGAGTTATAGGTCTCCATGCCAAATAATTTTACACAGTAATCTTATTGAACTATCCATTGTTAACCAGGGAATGGTCATCTCATCATCTAAAATAAGCAATTATTCTTAATTATTTGAAAACTAATCCCCTGCTAAGTATTTACCAATAGTTTATTACCTTTCCTGCAATTAATTTAATTGTTTGTCCTCACAGGGAAGAATAATAACTTAAATGATTTGCCAATAAAAATCAAAGAGGGTATCTGAATAGAAGCTCCTAATTAGTTTGCTTATATATTCCAGTTCAGAAATCAATGAAGGTGCTGAAAGAAGCAGAGATGTGCAGGCTCTGAAATGCCTACTTTCAGTGTCCTTCAATCTGAGAACTTGTAATCAGAAAAATTTTGTAAGTAATAGTAGGTACTTTCCTTTTTTCATGAATGCATCCTGTTGTGTCTTATTATAGGATGTTAACATAACTCATCCCAGAACATTGTACAGACTGTTATATTGAAACAAATTTACTGAAAAGCTGGGCTATTTTCACTCTCAGATATCTTCTTAGACACAGCAGGTAGTAGGACAGCCATGATTCAAACAGGTCACAGAACATCCTCCATTTACCTGTGTTAAAATAATTATTTTACTGCCACTCTTGAAGCTGTCATTTTGATCAGCACAACTGATGAGCCATGTTGTTTGGAAACAAGAATATAAATGATAAACCAAATGCATTAGTTATATTTGAATAATAAAAGAATTTGGAAGGTAGAGTGTTCAACTGATTATTCTGAGTCCATGGGAAACATACACAAATTTAAAGAAAGAAAACTGTAACTAATACCCTGTAATATTATTTGTTGAATTTCCCTTTACATAAGTTGAAAAGTCAATTTAGTGTTATAATTGATTTTCTGGCCTTACTCTTTCAAGTTATCTAAATAAAAAATTGAGGCAAGTATATATGAGACTAAGTAAACAGCAGGAGAGAGTGACGTGCAAAGAAAAAGATTAAAGCTAAAATTTTCAAAGAAGCTGAAAGGAGATGAGTACCTATCTCTGCTGGAATAGTAATGGGATTTGGGTGCATAAAATTCTAGACAGAAAGAATGAAAAATATTACCGTTAGATTAAACAAGTAAGGAGGATCTGAATAATATGCAAATATTTAAGGAGTATAAGTAGTAAACACTGGGTGCATCTACACATTCATTAATGTGCAGTAGTTACTACACATTTAATTTAGTACTTGCTTAATGAAGTACTGACTAAATGTGCAGTAACTCGTAATACTGTGCAGTAGCACTTATGCATGTTATTTTTTTTGTGA